AAATAATTACAAATTTGTTATAGGCACATGTGATTAGAATGAAAAGCACAGACAGTTTACCATTTCCAGTCATAATGTCCTCTATGATAGTATCTTGCCAATGGTTTGTATATGGATGTCTGCTCAGTGATCAATTTATACAAATACCAAATTTTATGGGTTGTATTTTATCAGCTTTTCAACTTTCTTTGTTTTTAATTTACCCAAGTAAACGAACAGATCAAGCTTACTTTATATGAGAACATTAATTATCTTTTATTCTGTGGATTAATTAGATTAGTGTTGTGTAGAAATACTTCATATATTATAAGTCAATAATTTTTTAGTGTACATTTATTTTTAGGTATATATTTATTTTATCTTAAGTATATAGAATATTCAACAACAGGTGAGAAAATTAAAGAATAATTTTAAATGATAAAATAAGACAGAAATTAAGAATAAAACGAAGAAAAAATTACAATTAAAGTTTAAATTATAGATTTTAAAAATTCACATAAAAAGTAAATTATTAAAAGTACATGAATATTTATAATTAAACGAAACATCTATCGTCGCAATTTTATTTTTCTTGTTTTTATTTTGAATTTCTGTTTTCTATTGAATCACCATATATATTTTATTTAGAATTACATTTTAAATTTTTTCTCACTGTTGTCAAATTCTCTGTAAAGAACTCCATGCAAAACCACAGGAAAAAACCATTTAGTCAAATTTTCTGGAACTTTGAGAAATATTTATTAATGTGATGCTGAAAAGTATTCATAAGCACGACGCTCAATAATTAACTGGATACCTATTTGTTTTTCACTGGCACTCAGTGCAAATTAAAACTGTTAACTTAATTTGAATGCAAAAGTGAGATCTCAATTAATAAAATACGCAATGTATATTTTATTTTTATTAAATACCACAATAAAATGTATTGAGGATTTCGCGGTTTAATTCGTTTCTATTTTTGATAAATTAAAAAGATTCCGATCCACTCAAATTTTGATAAAAATATACTCAATCATTTTCTTATGAAAATGAATCTGCAAGAAAAAAGTGTCGCTCTGTCCTGCGAACCGAAATATTTTAAGTTAAAATTGACGACTATGCACGTTAAGAAATCTGTCACAATCACGCAATACTGCTTCAAAATAAATTATTTAATTATTTACTTTTTCTAGATTCTTCGTTTTCATGAGAAAAAACGCATCAATTGAGTATATTTTTATCACATTTTAAATGGACCAGAATCTTCTTTACATTTATTCTATTTTTATTAAACGTACATCTTTACACTGATTTGTGTACAATTTTAAAGTATATTGGATGCGCACCAGCTCCATCCGTGATGTAATGGCTTCTGTACACTGGACGCGGAACCGCTTGCCGACAAAATGTGATGCGAAGACAATAAGCTTACAGCTTCTAATGTGTTTATTGGTTACTGTGTCTCATTTTGCCGCGTGGCAAACGTTTCCGCATCCAATATGCAGGAGCCATAAGTCATAAGAACAAGGAAAGCTTTCGAATAAAGCGGGAAGCACATGCATAACGTATAACACGTAAAGCTACTTTTTCATACTGACGCTTGACGCTCATTTTCAAAACAGATCATGTGATCAAAATTAACGAATACCAAACATCAATTTTGATCACATGACTTGTTTAATACTCGAATCGAATGTCAACATGAAAATACAGTCTAATGCATAAGAAAATGTATTAATTGAAGAATCCTTCGTTTCCTTCTTTTCCATGAAATAAAGAACTCTGATTGGTTCAATTTCTTATGCCTATGTATTATGCAAGAATCTGTGCTCCCTGTTTTAACATTGGCGAACAACAAGCATGCAACAATTCATCGCAGAAAGAATCAAGGAAAGGCCGCAATACAGACTTTTGCATAACGCATAATGCATAGTGCATAAGAAAATCAACCAATCAGAATCCTTCCTTTTCTTCCAGTTAACGGAAAAGAAGAACTTTGATTGATTCTCTTATGCACTATGCGTTATGCATAAGTCTGTGCTGCGGCCTGAAGAGTGGAGCTGACTCACCCGAAAGCCGCCATTTTTAGTGTACTGTTAAATGAGTACAAGATAAATTAGAAACGTGATGGAACATACGGTTTATTTTGTTAATATTATGTTATATTGTTATATATTATATTTATATCAAAAACGCATTTATTAATGTGAGGAGCACAAACTTTTACATAACACATAACACGTAATGCATAAGAAAATGTACCAATCGAAGTCTTTCATTTCTTTCCTTTCTATGAAAGAACTCTGATTTTTTATGCTTCATGTTTTATGCGTATACAAAAGTCTCCCCGCATTAGGCGGAGCCAATCAGCATTAGGCACATGCATTGACGCCAATACCATCGACATATTAAGTTGACTTTTTATATACAGCACGCTGCGGCAGCAATTCATTACTATTAGTTGAAAATTTTACGTGAGATGACGCACTTCTGACGCAAAATACATTTTACTGCATCTCATTAAAATTCAACCGAACAACGAGCAGCAAAAAATTCGAAGTTGAGAAAATCTACAATATTTGCAAAAAATATGAAAATTAAGTACATTTACTAAAATGAGTACAATTAATAATAATAAATTTATTAAAATGAGTACATTTTTGATAAGATTTGAAATGATGGGAATATTCTAAATTCTAAATAACTGAAATGATAATTGAAATCTAAATTGTAACTGCACTAACAGTTGTCATATAATCATAAGTTTTTTTATCTTTTTAAGTTTTATATATTAATTTTTGAGCTGAGCAAATAAAAGACATATATTTGAGATTAAACTTTAATATATATATGTCGTTATTCCTTTTCATGCGTAGTAAATGCAGCGGAAGCAATTATGGAAAATTTGCATCACGTAACATTTTTGTTGCCGTAGCATGCTGCGCATGAAAAGACACTTTTTAGAGTGCATTCGTTTACGCAATGGCTAGCGCATCCACTGCTTTCTCATCTGTTAGTCATGATTAAAAATTTACTGAACTTCTGTATTGTAGTCTGGACCTACAATAGGTATTTTAAGTCGTAAGACGTAATTGACCAACTACAGTCGAATGCGGGAAGAATAATTAATAATTGTGATTCGTCCATTCTTTATGGTTTAAGGTTTAAAAATCTATTATAGATTCGAGGTTAAGGGTATACACAAACTTGCACAGAGAAAATTATGCATGTAGAAAATTATTCAATCATATTTTACATGCATCTTTATAGTGTTATCCGAGGAGGTTCGGCTGGTTCCCCGGTTTCGAACCAACCCGAGACTTTAGAGACTTTGTCGCACGCTCCAACATGCCCAACACACTCTAATACGTTCGCATTACGGAACCAATATGGCGACTAGATGTTCGCGTCGCATTAGAGCATACTCCATGGATTAGAGTAAAATCACACGGTATGAAATAGGACTGCGGAATAAAGAATGCGTCATTAAAGCAATCAATCAGCGCTATTCCGCATTTTTCCATCATGGAAGCTTTGTGTACTATGTACACATGGTGCGTCAAAGATGTATCCATAAATATAATTTAAATACCACTAACTTTATGTTGATAATTTGCTTATTAAAATGAAATATAATTTATTAAATTATAAAAACAATTATCATTGTTGTAGTATTTTATATTTTACAATTAATATTTACAATCTCATAACAATTTTTTAAACTGTTTTAACGCATTTATTATCATTTTTCCGCATCATGTAAACAAGGCAAGTCTCACGTAATGCGTCATTATTTTTATATCTTGATATCTATATTTATATTAAAATTTTGTCATACAAGTTACACAAGTAATTTTTCATCACTATGGATAACAAATTGATGATGACCGAAGCTATTAAACACTTAATAAAGATATACGTGAAAATTCCAATGATACACTGTCGAAAGGAGAAAGTGAGGTTAACTTTAATCAAATTAATCTCAATTTATATTGCCTTGACAGAAAAAAAAATCCAAAAGAAGTGTATGGGTCAGGCCCATTTATTCAATAAAACAGCGGTCTCTCCAAGGTGATAGTAACAATTACCATGTTGAGAGCAATTGATCCTTCGTTGTATTTTAATTATTTGAGAATGTTGGCACCTTTTCATCTTCTTTCAATAGTAGGTCCTGGAATTGAAAAGCAAACAAATATTAGAGAACTAATTGCTTCTTAGACAAGGTTACAAATTTGCTTGAGGTATTTAGCCAGTGAAGATAGCATGAAATCAATAGGATATGCATTTCGAATTTCTCCAAACACTGTTTCCCAAATAATTCACGAAACTTGTAATAAAATTTGGCTTAAATTGAAGAATTTAGTTATATCAAGCAAGGATGCATGAACAAAAGCAGAAAATTTTGAAGCAATGTGAAATTCTTTTATTGCATTGGGACTATAGATCGAAAACACATTGTGATAGAGATAATAATAATTTATTCAGATATCTTTTGTATTTAACATTCATGAAATAGATTAACTTAAAATTTAAATTACAGGCTCTTCCTCACAATGGCTCTTTCTTTATTATAATTATAAGAAAATTCATAGCTTTAATCTTATTAGCATTTCAGATTTGCATTATTTATTTATTTATTGATTCATTTTGGTAGATATAAGAGCAGAGTTGCCATAGCGATGCTAAAGTTTTTTCTAATAGCAAATTAAAATCAAGGCTAGATGCAAACATTTTAAATGTACCTTCACCTTCTCTAGTTGGTCAATGCGAGTTGACATTTGTTTTGGTAGCCGATGAAGCATATCCACTATCACTGTACTTGATGCGATCTTATCCAAAAAGTGCACAGCTAGATTTGAAGAAAAAAGTGTATAATTATCGTCTCAGCAGGGCCAGACGAGTTATCAAAAGTGCTTTTGGCATACTTGTAGCAAAATGGAGAATTTTTCGAAAACTAATCAATACCTACATCTTGAAAGCCAAAAAGATTGGCCACTATCTGCTTACACAATTTTATCATCACTAAGGAACTTGAAAAGCGTCCTCAAAAAAGACAATACTTACAATGTAATACACGACAGGCAGCAACTGTCGCTTGGCATTAGGAACATACAAAATCAGATTAACCAAGATGTTACTTCAAACAACTTATTTAGTAGTATTTACAGAGAAAAATTTGCCAACTATTTTGTAAATGAAAGTTCTGGTTACAATGGCAATGGGAGAAAGCTGAGAATGAATTTTAAAATAAATCTGTAGAAAATGTATAAGTGAATGTTTTAGGTAATTAAATTTGTTTTAGGCAATCCTAATGTCCATAGGAGATGATACTCTCACACATGTGCGTATTTCTGTGTTTTTAAATTTTTGTACTTTTAGTTAATATTTTTATAATATTATTAATATTTTTATTTTATGTATTGGCTCAAAACGGCATTGATGCATGTAAAAATCAGATCTTAAATGGAACAAGATCTTAAAAATTTGTGCCGAGAACTCAAATTGAAGGAAGAAAGGTAAGAACATAAATTTGTTATAGCATAAAAGTATAACATTATTTTAGATTATAAATTGCATAATGCAAAATAAATGGACGGCAATATTGTATATTATATGTTGATTTAGATATAACGCATTGATGCCACGTGTTGTGAAAGAGAATCACAGAGAGTGAGATTCTACTCCTTGCATCCAATGCATTGTAAGATAAAACATTTGGAAAACAGCTTGAGCGCAGAAACGCGTAAAATTAAATCCAGTAACAATCTTAATTTGCAACATTTATGTTGTAAGTTGATCGAATATTTAACAATTCATGAACAATCTGCAGTGAATTGTAACTATCTCTTGTCACACGTATAAATATCGATAATGTCTAACAATTAAAAAAATCAGTATATCTGACCGCTAATTTATATTTAAGTAAAATATATTTTATATTCTACAAGAATACTCCTCCCCCCTCTCTCTCTCCCTCCCACCCCCTAGTGTGGATGATATTGTGCGGAATTATCGAAGAGATGGGCATCCATAAAATTGACTCGAGTTAATTTATTTAAATATATATTTATAATTCACACCAATACATTACTTACTAATAGTCTATTACTAATTATTTCTAGATTTAAACATTTAAATTGAATCTTGTAGAATTAGAAAAAAAATGAAGGCTAATACTTTTAAACCTTGGAATTAGAAAATTAAGATTTAAAAATCAGGCTTCGCATGCGACACTTAAATTAAAACGGCGGCGATTGGTCGGTCAACAGGAGGAGTCGACGATTCGCGCGTGACTGCTTGGGAGCTACACGTTATTACTCTGCCGCTCTCTTATATTTCGCCTGTGAACGTTCCTAATTCCCCCTTCCATTGTCATGGGTTATAGTCATTATAGGTTATGATTTGTATTTGCTGCTTGAAATTTTGTAGTTTCTTTCATTTCATTTTTGCTCTCAAAATCAATTGAATATCTATCGTAACATTAGTGCAGGACCTGGCGTTATTTCTAGATAACCTCAGGTTATTTCTAGATAACCTCAGGTTATTTCTAGATAAGGTGCCAAATATGTCAATTTGAAGAAAAAGATTGAAATTTTTTATCTGCGGGAAGTGTAGTGATGTTTATTCATAAGTCATGTATTTATTTTACAGCAATATCATATTCATACAGCAAGTTGTCGACGAATATTATCCGCAAATTTAAATAATTGAATACTTTTTTCTGATCTATACTGATACAGTTTACCGCAACACAAGACATTTTATAAATATTTTTGCCTTCGTTAATATATAATATTTCAGTTTTTTTATATCCTTCTCTTAGTCTTATGGTAAAATTTCGAAATGCGGAAATACATAAATACGAAGCTACAAGGTTTTCAACAGCATAGAAGCTACAACAACCATAACCATCTCAGCTCAGCAGCGGAGTGGGAACAGCATTCGAATAACTATGTCTCTAATCAAGTACATCTCTAGAGGTTGTCTGCGCTACTCGAAGTCTGTTCAAAATGTTACTGAACAAAATGAGATTGTAACGGACATGATAATAGGAGAAATGCAATTGGATAATTTTTCTATGCATACATTTATGCAGCTATGCAATTTGTATGGATATATCCTAATAGCTGCTCGGTATCGTATTGGATTGTATCTTCCAATAGAAAACGAGACGAAGCTTAGAACTGTTTTTTTCAGTAAGTAAAGAGAATCATAATTAGTCAGGAATCCGAGGCTGTACAAATAATTAAAATTCAAAAGATGTATTTTTAGGTTAATCTGATCATAATATGAATTAGCAAATTTTTCTACTATATATCTCACTTTGCATTTTTTTTACTCTACTAAGATCGATTTTCACAAATTCTTCACCTTTTTCACTTAATATTTTAATGAAATTCATTTTCAGTAATATAACTAGTATATAACTAGCTATTGCTTTCCAATTGCTTAACACATCTTAACACAAATATACACAGGAATACACAAAGTGTAGCATTGTGTACGATTCAATTGGACTATGTACGCTGTGCTTAAAACCCGTTGTAGCTAGAGTTAGTTTAAATATAGTTTTCTCCGTCTGTATTAAATAAAAAATAAAAGTGCCGGCTACTTAACGCCCTTCAACTTCATTTATAGTCGCCGCGATTAGTAACATGTAATTGTCACTAGAAAACACAAGCTTTACATAGCCCTCAGCTGAGTACAGATGGATAGTGTTGTGTCAATAATAATTAGAGAGCTTCACACACACACACACACACATACAGAGAGAGAGAGAGAGAGAGAGAGAGAGAGAGACAAATTGCATCACGTAAATGCCCATATCCAATCAGGATGAGGGTCACATGACCAGTTTTCTCCAATCTCTTCCATGCCTATGAAGCTTCGATGATCATGCCCAATCAGAGAAGACGGATTACGTGATGCAATTTGCCATTCTCTCCCTGAGGCCGGAATCAGACTATGCATTGAAAATTGAGATTAAAGAATAAAAATTGAAATTTCAGCCATGAGGACAAAGAAATTTTGGCTGCTTTTGTTCTGATTAGTCAAAATCTTTCAATCTTCAATGCGTCCGATTCCAGCCTAATGATAACGGACAATTGGAACGCAACTTGTGTCACCGTGTGCACGAAAGTATCTAGGAATATTGTAATTGAGAAGTACCCATGGTATAAGAATATAAGATATTTCATTATACATAATGACGAAAAAGTATTAGAACAACCAATCAGAAATTTGTCCAAAATTAAGCGCTAAATTCAAATGCAGTGTTGGTAACAATACATAACAATTGTAAAAACAAAATTAAAATTTGAAAAAATACAAAAACTCGTAAATGAGTAAAATAATAAAGTATGAAATAAAATAATAATGTTAATAAAATTAATGACAATAATGTTAATAAATATAATAATGTTAGTAAATATAATTTGATACTTTGATAATTTGAACTTAAGATCGACTCAATATATAACTAATATACGACTCTTACAGTTTTGAACATAACACGTGAGCATTTCTACAAACCAAATAGAATATGCTAATTAATTATTTAGAAAAAAGATTGATAAATTATAATAAAAGAAATAATTTATAAATGAATGAGAAGCATGATTTTTTTTATAGATATCTTTATATATACTTTAACTGTTGTTGTTACATAAAACTTGAAGAACTTCGCTCTTAATCACTTATCGGCGAACTGAAAAAACTTTTCGAAAGAATAATATAATCAAGAAGAATGCAAGATCTGATTCACGCACGATGTGAGACTTCGCTTTTTGATCACTTCTAATCTAATGTACCAGGTGTATAAGCTTAAATCCGCTGTTTGCTCATAGGTGGCATTAGTGAGAGTACCCTAAGCACACAACACACTTTTTTTTATGTGTTTGACATCTGTCAACATTAATCAGTGCACATCATCAGCAATTTCATACAACATACATTTTTTCTTTCGTAATCATGTCTAGTTTTTTGCTAAAAAAAAAGCATATACGGGAAGCTTTGCTTTTCTGTTTCCATTTGAAGAAATCGGCTGCCGAATCGCATCGAATGCTTGTGGAGGCCTATGGCGACAATGCTTTATCGGAAACAACGTGCAGAGATTGATTTCGCCGGTTCAATGACAACAATTTTGACCTGAGTGACAAGAAGCGTGAAAATCGGCCCAGAAAGGTTGAGGACTGTCAATTGCAGGCTTTTTTGGACGAGGACGATACCCAATCGCAAAAATTGCTTGCCGAGCAATTGGGTATTTCTCAAGCAGCTATTTCCATGCGGCTACATGCCATGAGGAAGGTTCAAAAGATCGGAAAATGGGTGCCGCATGAACTGAACGATAGGCAGATGGAACGACGCCAAAACACATGCCAAATTCTGCTTACCAGACAAAAAAGAAAGTCATTCTTGCATCGGATTGTGACAGGCGATGAAAAGTGGATCTATTTTCAGAATCCTAAATGCAAGAAATCTTGGGTTGATCCCGCCCAACCATCAACATCTTCCTCAAGACCAAATCGCTTTGGACGGAAGACGATGCTGTGCGTTTGATGGGATCAGGAGGGTGTCATCTACTACGAGCTGTTAAAACCTGAAACTGTTAATGCTCACCGCTACTACCAACAACTGATCAAATTGTGCTCTGCGTGAAAAAAGGCCGCATTATCGGAAAAGACATGACAAGCTGATTTTCCTCCACGACAACGCACCATCGCACATGTCAACAATGTTCAAAACTACTTGGAGACACTCAACTGGGAAGTGTTACCCCATCCCAGACCTGGCATCTTCTGACTATCACCTTTCATCGATGGGCCACGCGCTCGCTGAGCGGCACTTCGATTCTTACGAAGACGTCCGAAAATGGCTTGATGAGTGATTTGCCTCGAAAGATGAGGAATTTTTTTGGCGTGGTATACACAAATTGCCGAAAGATGGGAAATATGTATAGTTAGCGAGGGCAAGAACTTTGAATAAATTTGTTTTTGTTTCCTAAGAAAAAAAATGTGTTTTTTTGACTAAAAAACAGCGGATTTAAGCTTATACACCTGGTGTATACATACGTAACGACTATGGTAACAGCCATGTTGCTTTTTACAATTTTGGACAAATTGGTTTAAGAGTAGTCGCCATTTTGGCTATTGCGCATCCTCGGGAAACCTTATATTCTTATACCATGGAAGTACCCATTGTCTCGTCGCTAAGCAAGTGTAGCGATATGTCATGGCATGATTGTAGTAACGGAGAAACTGTAAGTTCTCTGCTTTGACCGGGATTGGTGTCATCAAAAACATGGCCGCCAATAATGCGCAAGCAAATATGCGCGGCTAAATGGAAAACTTGTCCCTACTGTATATCTTTATACTGTGATTAGAGAGCCTCACAGAAGCTGTTATATTATAGCATACGTCATGTGCACTATAGAAAAAGAGCACTCCGACGCCTTAGATTTGCATTGACGAACGCAGCTAGAGAGAGAGTAGCAAATTGCATCACGTGACCGTCTCTCTCATGAGTATCAAAGCTCCATAAACATGGAAGAAATTGGAGAAAACTGGTCACATGCCCCCCCTCCCCGTTCTGATTAAACGTGGACATTCACGTACAATTTGCCACTCTCTCTCTCTCTCTCTCTCTT